TAATTTTTTTTAGAATATTTGTGCCATCTATCATCATAGTAGTTTTTATGAATCGGTTATTAGGAGTATTAAGATCTAAATAAATTAAATTTTGAACGTTATAAATATTTAAAGTTATACGAGTTTTAAATAATGAACCAACATTTTAAAGTTCTCAGTACTCACCACTCATCAAAACTTTAGATACAAGTAACCAGTGGCGGCGCCAGGGTGACCCCGATCCCACCATAAAAAGTCTCGGGCCCCCCTAGCTGTGGCCCACCCCAAAAATTAAATTTAATCATACTAGAATACTAAATAATATCTCATGAATAAATCAAAATATGAAAATATAAAGTCATAATAGATGGCATGAACAACATTTTGAATGGGTTAAAAACTATGCACTATGCTTTCGAGCCTCATAAATAACGTGTATTTTCCAGCGGCTGAATACGAAAATAATAAGTTATGCTTACTAGTTATTATTAAATATTAATCAAGGTTATTAATAATTTTGTTGAAAATTCCATGAACAGGATTAGATTATTAACCAACTACCTATAATAAAGAAAATACAAGGGAAAGCATTCTATTTTTATAAACTTTTACATGAATATATATTTTGTTAGGAAATAAATACTATTAATACATGTTTACAAATCATTGTTTTAGTAAGTTAACATGATAAAGTGTAAAAAAAATTGAAAAATTGGAAGTTGACCCTCCCCCTCCCCCCTCTGCGCAATTGCCTGTCAAGTGTCATCACTATTGTTTATATTATATATAAATATCAAGTCAACAATTTGGCCCTCCCTAAAATATTTGGGCCCAAGCCTGGCCCACCTRGTATTAAAATTCTGGCACCGCCACTGCAAGTAACTTGTTCAAAATTAATTTATATGCATCAAAGTACCTTCTAAAAAAAATTATTAAAATAAAAAACAAAAAATKTATATTCTTATAAAAGGGAGGCCTTCAAAACATTGAACGTCAATATATTGAATGATAAAATCTTGAATATAATATTACAGTGAAAACTCTTTATAAMGAAACACGTTAGTACGTTACAATGAAAAACTCTATATTACGTAAATAACATAAAGTTAACTGATAATGGTTGGTTTGATTTAAAACCTAATAATTACTCTCTATTACGAAAACTCTCAATAACGAAAGAAATCACATGGTCCCTTCACGTTCGTTATAGAGAGTTTTCACTGTATGTCAATATCTTGAACATTTAAAACTTTGAATGTCAAAATTTTGAACATAAAAATTGCTTCCGTCAAAATCTTGAACATAAAAATTGATTCCGTCAACATTTTGGTATAAATCTAGTTAAGCACCCCCTCAAATTTTCGATTTTTTTTTTTTTGAAACCTATGAAATTCGACGAGTTTAGAACGATGGTGCAAAAATAAATTTTCGTAAATGTTTAGTTTTGAAGTTATAGACTTGCGAAGTTCACCAAGTTTTTCTATGTTTTAGTGTTTTACTCATGCGCGCAACGCTCTATTTTAACACTCTTATAACAAATTATTTTTTTCAGAAGCATAGGTATTTCAACGAATTTAGAACGATAGTGCAAAAATAAATACAACATAACTTACCCTGTGTCCTACTTGAGATGGTGTTGCATAGCAAGTCGAGGGATATTTTCTAGCAAGGCATCACTGCCCACATTATA